TTTTTTTTTTGAACATTAAACAACACTTGTAATTAATGGGTTCAATCTTGGGATTCAAAATAAAGTTAATAATCTTGCATACCGTTACATCTTTGATCTTTCTATCTAAATATTAAATCTCCTAATTTAACTTGATATTTTTATACGAGAAAAGAAATTTAAAGTTATTTTTTAATATTTTTTTAAAGTATTTGTTTATAAACTTATTTTGTAATTATTGTTTTCAAAACTGAACGGTTAAATAGAAATTATATTTATAAAGGTTACATATATTAATTTTAAATTAAATTAATAGAGTTAATTAACTTGTTTATTATATAAAATTTAATACTGTTAAATATATATCAATAATAAATTTTTTTGATTAAATAGTTATAAATACTGAAATAATATAAAAATTAATATATATAATTTATATCAATAAAACTTTTAATTTAACTATTAATTTTTGAAAATTTTAATTAGACTTAAAAGGTGAATTTTTTTAGAAAAAAATCCTCCAAAAAAATTTAGTTTGACGGCCTACACTATTCAAACATCATTTTTATATTAAGTAAATAATAATTAAAAGTAATCTATCAAGTGAAATTACTCAATAAAAACTATTGCTATTTACTTTGCTTTATAAAAGTATTAAGTCAAATTAAAACAATTAAATCAAACAAAATAAAGTTTTTTTTTTTTTTTTTTCATTTGATAGGTTGTATAATAAGAAATCAATTAGTAACATGGACCTTTTTATTTCTTCCAAGCTTTTGCCTTAAGTGCAACAATTCTGTAATAGGGAGGCCAATTTGGTACTAAATGAGATTTAAGGAGCTTATCTGAGAAAGAAGAGAGTGAATAGACTTAATTGGAACAGACAACTTAGTTGAGGCGTCATTCTTAGGATTATTCTTAATTTTTTTACAGACAGTTCTACCACTACTACTGTCGATGCCGTGACGTAGAAACGAAGGACCAAACCGACTTTTCCATATCCCTAGTCTTAACATGGAAAGTCTTCAGTCACGGACCTGTCAACATCAAACATGTGAATTTCTTTCCCAATTCATTGCTGTGGTTATAGTCCGCTAATTTTGTTAAGATGATATAATTTAATTATTTTATTAATTTATAAATTTTAGTAAAAACTAATTATAATATTTTAAAAATATTTGTTTATATTTTAAATTTAATACATTAAATAATAAATATTATTTATTTTATTAATGATTAATAATTTAATTAAGATAAAAATTTAATACTAATCCTAACTAATAGTCTGTGGCCGTGGTGCCACAGCCAAATCAGTATTTTCCAAAAATGATAATGGGTCTGTCTGATATATGTAATTAAAGTATAGGTTAAAAATATGATAAATATAATTTGTTATAATTAATTTATAAAAAAATTAATATTTCTTAATATTATTATTATTATCTAATTTTAATAATTAATTAAATTAAAATCAATTATTTATATTTTTCATATAAATTAATTATACAGAATATATAATAAGAACACATGCTAAAAAAAATTGAATAATAATAACGTCAATTACACAACCTAGCACTTAATCCATCAATTATTCCCATAACTCCCGTAGCTGTGGGTCTTTCATATTAATTTTAAATTAATAGTCAATTAAATTTTTGTTGATACCTTTCCGTCAAGTTTCAAAGGTTTGAATTTGAAATTAATTTAAAATTTTATATTTTTAATCAGTTGAGACACTTAAAATTAATAATATATTTTGTAATTATTAATAAATATTCATTATCTCAATATTAAGAATTTATTTTTCATTAATAATTATAAAATGTGTGGTATTATAAATATTACTTAAAAAAAAGAAATTATTACATAAAAAATTACTTTACAATTTAAATTATACTAAACTGAAAAATATAACTTTAGAATAAGAAACAAATCCTCATATTAATAACTTTCCCCCACCAAATAATTGTTAACTTATTGTATAAATTCTAGGGGTGAGTAAAAAATTCACATTCGAAAAAAATTCAGACACTAACAAAACCATAACCAACGGGCAGAATTTGATGGGGTTTTGAATTTGTTTGATTAAAAATCAAACTTAACTAATTTTAAACAATTTGAGTTTTAGTTGCTAACTTTAAAAACTAAAAAATCAACTATTAAGGTAAGTATAACAAAAAAAACCAACATAAAAACCTTTTATATAAAATTTTTAAGGGTTATTAGTATTTTTTACCAAATTATTTATTTATTTGAGTAAATTTTAGCTTTTTTAGTGATAAAAATTAGTAAATGATAATTGAAAATTTCAAAAAATTACTAAAAATATAAAAATAATTTTTTAATTAAAACTAAATTTAATTTAAATAATTATTCTTAAAATTACAATCAAAATCAATAAAATTTATCATTTTCAATTTAATTAATAATTATTAAAATGTAAAATTTTAATTAACTAATAATTCA